TTGGCCTTCCCATTTCAAAAGCAATGCTAAGCGTTAGTAACATTATTTGTTGAAATCGAGAATGTTCCATCACTCGTAACATTTCAACTATACTTGAACTCAACTCATTGAAAAGCACCAATCAACAGCTAGAAACTATTTTGTCTACTACGTGCTTCAGAGATGCCCCTAAATTTACAAGTAACAGTAACAGTAACATAATTAAAACAGTTCTCAAGATGGAACATCGCAAATAAACTAGGCGTGAGTTAACACATTGTGTTATCACGTACACTTCAGTACTGTAAGACGTTACGCTGCGTCAGGTTGAAGTTCTATATAATATTCAAGGAAAACCTTTTCTAACCTCAAACCGTCCTTCACTAGCAGCGGTTACCTTACCGTAGGTCAAAGTCGTCGAAACAAGGCTTGAAACCTCCTTTACTGAAAAGTGGTAGGGAAACGAACTCTGCCACTTCAAGCCGATTTCGGACCACACCCTTCGCGGTGTTGTTGGATGTCGTTGAAGACCATAATTTGCGAAAGCGGCGCTGTTATGTATGTTACCAGTTGCTCTCTGTCTGCTACGCGGCAGGTTCGGCTGGTATCGGCAGCTTAGCCTCCCTGTCTTCCGTTCCACTCGGTATTGTGCAAATGTGAAAATTTGCTAATAAACTTGTTAGTTTGCACGAAACACTTCGTCTCTAAACCTATGTAGGAGGTTGATCGATGAGCACTTTGGCCTCTCAATCAAATTTGTGTTAAAATTCCAAGCAACAGACAATGCACAGTTAACAACAGAGAAAGGCTGGATATGTCCGATGACATGTGTAAGGTCTGTGTCCATGCCACAGACATGTTAATTTTTCCATGTTCATTCACCTCACATGTGTCCCATGTCCCATGTAAGGTGTATGACGGTATCACGGTGTTGGATGTGGAAGCATTCAGAGGAAGTAAAAAGCTGGGCATACTTCACGCGATTTCAGTCGCGTCGCGATTTGGCAATTCGCCAGAAGTCTTCAGATCCAATGCTAGCAAATTGCACATGCATGGTGTGTATAACTTACGTGGATTGATGAAATGCCCTATCTTCTACACATTTAAAATACGCTTACAGCGAGTTATGGACAGTTGGAATATTGCCAAATCGCGCCGCGACTGAAATCGCGTGAAGTATGCCCGGCCCTTAAGACGTGAAAAAGGCGTTAGGGTATGAAGAAAAGATGGGAGGGGGGGGATTATAAGAGTGTGACTGTCATTGGATTGATATGATTGGGGGGGGGGGGGGGAGCTGTAGTCGAGGTGGTGCTGGTAATATTGATGGCATGGTATTCCTTGACAGTATGACTGCATCCTCCCCCCCCCCCCCCCTCCCCCTCCCCCATTGCGCAGAATTCAAGCACACCGAGATACTGTACCATTGTACACCTGTCGGCATATAAAGAGGCCCTGCCAAGCATAATGAATACCATTCTCGTAAATATCATGTCAAACAATTCCTGTTGACCAAAATTCAGGGCAATTTTCCAAATGTAGACCCATTTAAGTGAAGGGCCAATTTCAACCAAAATCAACTTTTCGGAAATATAATGTGTATGTGTGTACAGTGTTGAAATTAAAAACAAAAATTGTTGTGAACATCTTGATGTCTTTGTTGATTTATAAGCTAAACACTCACATTTTTCAATAAGTTGGTCACTTTTTGCATTGGCATTTTCTCTGCCTTGGTCCACCGGGAAAGTGGCGGCAGCCACAAAAAATTTCAAGAACAATGCGGTTATGTACAAGTACAAACAAGTCATCTATATAACTCATGTAAGTAACTTTCAAGAGAGGGCCACCCTGCCCAGGTCCCCCTCCCCCTCGGTCCGCCACTGATAGGCGACTGTTTGACACATATATCGTCCCTTAAAAATTTTGTGGCAAAATCTATGGATTACGGCACAATCCCAAAAAAAGGTGTGGCTGTCACACGTGTTTCGGGCTTGTGCTACATTCCTTAATGTCACGCAAAACTCAGAACGAACCAAGTATCACGAACTAATCTTGTAGTTTTCATAAAATTGGTTTAATGCTGTTCCATCCTTCATTTCTCTGAATAACATTTGCCGAATTGGAGCCACTGTCGAAAAATGCGACCTACGATATTTTGACCGGCTTCTATTTCATTGTTTGACGGCCATCTGCAGTGGGTTTAGTGCATACCAAGCAGGGGTAACTTGGTCCGGATTCGTTCATCCTGAGCGAAATACGACTGAACGAAAAGTTAGGCGATAAGGCGAGTTCGGCGAAAATGCGTTGCTATCGTATAGATAATTATTATTTGCTTCAAAAAGTGCACTACTGTATATAGTACTTCACATTTAGTCAACACGACACCTATTTCGTTTTGTACAAGATTAAGTAGAAGTAGGAACAAATTACGAAACATTCTGAATTTTATGTGAATGAAAGACATGCGCATCTTGATTGGGTAAAATTTGGGGATCTCTAACTCTGCCCGGTGACAATGTCAAAAATTCTAACATCAATCTAGTCTGCGTCACACTTGCACACTATGGCGGCGGGCAGTGGCGTACCGAGGGGGGGGCGCCCCCCCCCCCCGAGAATGGGTCGCGAAATTTTCAAAAGTTACTTATATGGTTTATAAAAATGTGCAAGTAACTCGTTTGTAATTGTAAATAATTAAAATAAGTCTTAAAAATTTTTAAAAATTCAGTTCAGCTTTGTAAAAAAAATTTTTTCGGGGGCGTGGCTAACGCCACGCCCCCTTCTTCCAGATTTTAGGGATTGAGGACCCGCAAAAATTTTGAGAAGCACCCCTAAAATTTTTTCGGAGTGCGTGGCTAACGCCGCACCTTCATTCGAAAAAATTTTTGTCGCCCCCTCCCCCGAACGGAAATCCTGGGTCCGCCACTGGCGGAGGAGTATCCCTCATTCTAGTGTGCTGACCAACTCGGAATAATTCCAGGTCTGGTATTCCTAAAAGGAAAATAGTCCATAGCAAAAAGTAGATCTTGGAAGACTTGGGGGCGTCATCGAAATACCATTCGAAAGGAATTCAGGTAAAGATTAGGTAGTAAGACCATGTAATTTGCTTTGAGAACAGAAACGTATATGCAAAAATATTATTGTAGAGAACACCTCGTGTATCTCATTGAATTTTCAGCTCATTCAGATTTACTTTTGCGCAGAAAATGACTTCTATATCCTATTAAATTGACTAAAGTTTACGAACAAGGAACTACAGATGTTGTTATTAGTTGTGGTTATGTTCTAAACCACTCTTTTGCGTGGTTGTGTAGATAATCATTTGTGATTTCGTTTCATGTGAAACTCCACTCATACGTTGCTATGCATCATTTGAAGTTTATTCTGCGAGTTTCTATTTTAAACGATGCATAGACCTTCAGAGCATCCTCCTGGGCATTTCGAGCATGGTGCACCTGTTTCGTAGATTTTGGCATTAAGCATGTTTCCTCTAAAATTGAAGTCTTGTTGGTGGCTTATTGAAGCGACTCTACTTACGCTTTTTTATAATTGCAGACTGCTAAGGTCATCCTGGGGCAGCTTTGAACAGCGCAACCAATGACTTTTGTACACTGCCAGACCATCTAAATCTATGTATTTAAGAAACCATGATATTGTCTGAGATCATTTCTGCTACTAACAACAAGTAGGCAAAGACTCTTTAACGTAATTGAGAAGCTTTCAAGATGGTGCAAAGCAAGGCATTATATGGGAAGGGCATAGTTCATCTGCGTTGGCGCAAATCTAGTGCTGCGACTGCTTCTTGGGTGCGGGGTGGTGGTGGCTTTGTAGGAAGAACTAGGGTATTGTATTCTCGATGATGGGAATGCAGTACTGTTTTCACCTGTGTGTAATGTCCAACTTTATTGTTGAAGAGTTTATGCTGAACGTGAGGGTCTTTGCCAACTCCGCGTTGTGCAAGCTCCCCAAACCATGAATTTTTGCACGTTAAATTGCAACTTTCGCATGTTTGTAAAGAAAAAGAGTGCCATTTTGCGGATGCTTCACTGCAAAAATGAATACTTTAAGTGTGAAACTCAATTGTAAATTGTAACAAGCATGAATGAATCTAGTGTACGTCAGGAAAAGTTCATTTATATGGTAGTATGTATGCGATATACATTTCTTTTACTCTTTTGTCTTTAGAGTGACATATCTCTTGAGCGATGTATTATGGTCCGTCGGAATCAAATGATTGGAACGCCTGTGTTCTTTGAGACATGCAACAGGCAGTTTCGCATGCGGGCACAAGCGGGACGCCATTGCGGTCGCAGGCGGAATACCTTTTGCTGATGTCGCAGCAGCTACGCTGTATCCGATCTTATAAGATTATCGCTCATGTTTTAATAAAGTATCTCTCCTTCCAAATTGGCGGGAGCTGATAGGTGTAGAAATTCTTAGGCTGTTCTTTATGAAAATACTAGCTGGCTTACCTGGCTCCGCCGTATGTTCCGAATAGAAAGTACTCTGCGTTGATACCACTGCT